GGGGGTGGGATTCATTTGCATAGGGTGGTCCTGAGGTTGTGGGAGGGGAACGAAAGCACCAGGGGGCGAGGTCTAGAGGGAGGGGGAACCCAAGGTCTGAATGGTGAGGCCCTCAGGTATAGGGATGGAGGCAATGGTCAGAGGGACCGGAGGAGATTCATAAAATTTACTATCAAGGAAGCCAAAAGGGAGATCTGAAATGACTTTTGTTCAAAGGATGAAGTAATCCATAGCCTACGTTAGTCGCCCTCCCACTGGTCCCCCAGTGGTGCTGTCATTACATTTTGTACTTGGTCTTCAAGGCACTTACCACACTTGTGATTAATCAATGTGATCATCTGTTCAGGGTCCACCTCCCCCCTCTGAACTGTGAGCTCTGTGGAGGCAGGGACCATGCCATTCTCATACTCTTCTATCTCCAGCATCAGGCATGGTGTTTATCACATAATGGTGTTGGTACCCCAAGTTGTTGTTGCTGTTTCCTGGCAGGACTCCAGCTGTTCACACTCCGTGCCCCCGTCCCCCGGGGCAAATTGGGAGAAGAGGGACTTAGGACCCCGCGGAGAGAATTCAAGCTGCTCATTTCAAGTTTTGGGTGCAGCAAGTGTGAGTGGGTGGCCAAAAGTGGGTCATCCAAACTCCCATTTATTTGTACATTACAGTAGTCAGCTACAGTTGGTGCCCAAAGCTTATGGGACTCAAACTCCAAGCCTCTCCAATGGGGCACTGTGAGAACCGTGGACAATGTAGCTTCTCCTTTGCTCCCCTTAACCATCCCTTTGGAGAGCATGCCCTTCCCCATGCCTGCACTCATTGTGCAGCAGCTCTTCTTATCACCACATTCATGAAGGGAATGGTGTTCCCATCATGATGCTGGAACCTACCTGTGCAAAGATTTTTGAACTTTGACTTCCTTAGGATGCCGGTCAAGGCAGGTGTCTTAAGTCACGTTTCCCCCAAAAAGTACCCTGAGATGAGATTTGTGTGCAGGTGATGGAAGTGCCCCCACAGGAGACCGGGGAAGCAGGAAGCATGCAGGGATGTGGGATTGAGGGCAGCTCCAGCCCCCCCACCTCATAGGGTTCCTCTGGAGTGCATGTTATGCCTCAGAGTTGTTCTGACCTGAGGTAAAGGACCTGAGTTGAGGGTTCATTCTCCTGTTCCATTTAGGCTTTGGTTAAGGGGATCACGGATCATAAACCCCCAGGCACTTCTGCCTCTCTCTGTGTGGGGGCAACGTGGGCTCAGTAGCCAAAGGAAGACTGAGGAACAAACAAAAAGTTGGCAGGTAGAGGCTTTCAGAAGCCCAGTTTGGTGGTGGGGCTCACAGGAGTGGGAAGAAGGGCGATCTGTGGGGTGTGGGTGGAGTGTCAGCAATGTCTGCTACAGCAGGTCATGCCCGGGTCTTTTTCTGGGACCCGAAGGACCCAAGGCAGAGGCTGAAGCTCCCCTCTGTCTTCCATCCACTTGCGCTTTATTAGTGGAGACCAGCACTTAGAAGCACATTTCACATCCTCATGAAGCCTTCCCACCAGACCAGAAGGCACTCAGTAGATGTTCACTGAGTGAGTTGGAAGCACCACCGTTCAGGAGTGGGGGCTGAGATGAGGCCGTTGTATTTGGTCACGAGCAGCCGTTGGAGACTGGTTTAGGAAGCTGTGCGAATGCAGTGGAAGCCAGACTGCGAGAAACGACAGCGTGTGGTTGTCTCTGTGCTCGGGAGGAGTTTGTTGGTTGAAGGCGGTGGTGGAAGAAGCGAGGCCTTGAGCAGACTTGCAGGAGGAGTGGAAAGAAGCAGAAGATGGAGAGGTGGCAGATTCAAGGCCCAGAGAGGACAAATGGGAGGAGGAGTTCCCGGTGCGAGTGGGAGGAGGTGGGATGAGGAGAACAGGTGGCAGATCAGCCTTGGCCAAGAGAAGGGTTACCCTCTTACTGCGAGAGAGCGGGGGGGGGGGGTTGAAAGGTCTGAGGATGGTGCAAGTTGGAAGTGAGAAGGAGCAAGTCAAAGAGACACAGCTTTTCAGCCAAGTGGGGGAAAGGTCATTGGTTGGGGTGACAGGGTGATGGGGTAGGGAGTGTGAAAGCGTTGGTACAGTCACTTTGGGGACCTTGACTGAGTCAGCAAGAGATGGCCAGTGGAGGATCGGATGGCTGAGGGTAGATGGCGGACCTTGTTGGTGTGGTTGGGCACCACACTGGGGACTCCCGTGGTGGGGAAGGTGGCATGTTGGGGAAAATTTTGCAAGATAGTTGGTGTGAGCAAATTTGGGGAGTGTTGAGAGGTCTTAACTCTGCAGTCACTGTGGCTACTTCTGTTTCGCACCTACTATGTGCCGGGCTCTGTGGCAGATGTCCAACAGTTCCATGGGGTCGGTGCTACCTGACTTGCCCAAGGTTGGGCCACCAGTGGTTGCAGAGCTGGAACTCTGTGCCTGCCCCGACTGATTGCAACACCAGCCTCACCTGAGGCCCATATAGGGTATTTGGATGTGAAATGCTTTGGTGCTGCAGAATGCCACACAGATGTGAAGCACACCTCTCCAAACCTCCTCCTTAGCCCCCTTGGGGACTGAATTGCGTCATGCTTTGGTTCTCCCTCTTCCAGGAGAAATGTGTCAGACCCTGGTGGGTGGGGACAAACCAGTGTGAGTCTCTAGAACAGGGTTCTGTGGGGAGGTAGAAAGCCCAGGCAGGTGTCTGCAGCCTGCCTGCAGGGTGCCAGGTTCTGGGTTTGTATCCCCAGTGTGGGGGAGTGGAGTTTGTCCCTGGACCTGTGTCTGCACTGTGTGTGTGGGAGTTGGGGGACGTCTCTCTGTGCTTGTGAGTCTGTGCTTCTCAGTGAGCATGTGCGTGGTTTTGAATCTTACTCTGTCTTAGCACCTGCTACACACAGAGGCACATAGAAGTGGTTGGGTGGGTTGCAGATACAGCTTAGAGAAAGAACAAATGGTGGGATGAAGGGCGGCAGAGAGACGGGGACACACGTGTTCCCCCACGTGTTCAGAAACACCCAGGTGACACACACACACACACACACACACACACACAGAAATGCAGTGTCTTTCTCTGTGTGCTTTCTTGAGTGGGTTGGCATATACTTCTTATGGATGTGTATCTGTGTGTATGACTGGCACATACCCAGTTAGCCTCTGAAACACAGAATGATAGGTATATGGAGACTCGTGGAAACACACAAATAAAAACGCTCAGACACACATTAGCGCACTCTGTGTCTTAGCATGTGTATTCCTGCGTGTTTCTGTGTTACCATGTGTTTTTCTGAGTGTGAACATCTGTGTGCCTGAATAATGCAGGTACATGTGGGAGACAAACGTGGGCACACACGCTGAGAAACACACACACAATGTGTGTGTGTGTGTGTGTGTGTGTGTGTTTCAAAGTCAGGGAGGGAAGGAGGAGGGAGGCCAGGAGGACAATGGGAGGGTCCTGGTCTCGCTCTGCCTCCTGGTACGCAGACCCAGGTCCCCCTACCTTTTGGGGAGCAGGATGATGGGATTTGGGTGACACTGCTTTGCTCCGGTGGGTTGGCCAGCCAGCACTGAGGAAGACCCTGAGGTATATGAGTTCATCCCAGACTTCTTAGAGGCATGGGGAAGATCCCCCTAAAGGTGTACCCCACCTCGAGTACACCCGCAGTCCGTGCAGGGTGGCAGGAGATGTAAAACTCACCCTGATCACCAGGCTGTGGAGCAAGGAGCAGAGAGACCCTCCTGGGGTCAATTCCTGGTGCCATCATTCCCCACCCCCCCTTTCTGGCTCTATGGGTGTGGACAAGTGGCTCAACCTCTGTGTTTTATGTCCTTGATGCCCTTGAGTCTGGGAGAACAGACTCATCTACCTCATGGGGGGTTGAGGATTAAGACCACTCTCAGGGCAGACATCCGTTCATCCAGCAGTTATTAACTGAGCGCCTACTGTGGCTGGACCCTCTTCTTGGCCCTGGGACTTCAATAGTTACCAAAGCTAAGTACCGTGTCCTGAGTTCACCTGCTATGGGGAGGAAGCTGGTCAATAAACCAGTAATGCCATAAACATGTCTGGGGTGGTGTTGGGAAGAAAGCCAGAGCAGGGTGATAGGACAGAGAGGGGCAGGGGGCGGTAGGGGCCAGAGAATGGTCAAGGAAGGCCTTGGCTAAGATGACGTTTGATCACAGAGTGGAAGCAAAGGAGTGAGCTACTGGCAGAGGAGAGGGTGTTTGAGGGGAGGGAATAGCAAGGGCAGAGGGCCATTTGTTATAAGTCTGTTGTTCTCCCATTTTACAGTTGAGGAAATGGAGGCACAGAGAGGCTGAGTGATTTGCCCAGAGTCTCACAGCCAGTGAGAAAGAGATCCACATTTGAACGTGGGCAGTCTGGTTTCAGAGCCATTGGTCGAATTGGTGGTCCTCAATCAGGGGTGACTCACTCCCCCCACCCAGGGGATATTTGGAATGTCTGGAGACATTCTTGATTGCCACACTGGACCGGAGGGCGCTACTAGCATCTAATAGGTAGAGGCCAGGGCTACTGATAGAACCTCCACAATGCACAAGACGCCCCCGACAACTCAGCGGGATCCCGTCTAAACTGCCAGTTGTTGCTGAGGTGGGGAAAACCTGGTCCAGATCCATGCAAAACACTCAACAGAGTATGACACATAGTAGGTGCTCAGTAAAGAGTAACTGAAGAGGAGGAGGAGGAATGATCTGTAGAGAGTTGCAGGGGAGTGTTGAATTCAACGGGGAGAAGAGACCTGTAAATGAATCCGTCCGTTAACAGGACTCCTGTGATGCTGCTTGGTGGGTGGGTATGAAGGGCAGGGCCGCCCCAGGGAGGGGGTACAAGTGAGGCAGGTGGTAGGAGGAGTGTGGTGGACTGGAGGGGGCAGGGCGACACTGGGCAGCCACCAGCCACTGTACCACTAACCAGATGACTTGTCTCTCTGTCCCTTCCCGCCCTGTGTCTCTCTCCCCATCTCTCTTGGCCTCTCTGCCCAGAAGGGGACAGCCGGAGGCTGAAGGGGGCCATCCAGAGGAGCACGGAGACCGGCCTGGCAGTGGAGATGCCCAGCCGGACCCTGCGCCAGGCCAGCCACGAGTCCATTGAGGACAGCATGAATAGCTACGGCTCGGAGGGCAAGTGAGTGTGGGGCCCGGCCTGCTGCCAGCCCTCCTGGCTCTCGCAGCCCCTGTGGTGTGGGGTGGGAGGGGCTGAGCAGCGCTGGCCAGGAGGCCGGGCTCAGCCTCAGGCCGGGCAGGGCATTGGCTCAGCGCTGCGGGTCGTGCCGAAGGGAGGTGGTAGGGCAAGCAAGCTCCAAGGGTGACGCAGAGCAGTGTGGGGCAGACTCCGGTGCCTGACGGCCCACGGGCTGCACCATCTTGGGCCCATCCCTTCTCTGAGCCTCAGTTTTCCCATCTGTAAAACCGGGTAATAGGGGCAGCCTCAGAGGGGCGTTGTGAGGATTCGGTGGGTTTCTGTTTACAGAGAGCAGAGGACAGTGTTGGCACGTGAGTGCCGTATGTCAGTGTTGGCAAATAAAGAACGGGGTCGCGATGGGTTTTATCAGGATGTTACTCTTTCCCCTTTACTTTCTTAGTTTCTTAAATCATGATTGGTTTTTAAAAATACATAATCAATAAGGAGTTTGATAAGGAGTTTCACACATGTCAAACCATAAAATATGAGGTCTGACCGCCTCCTCACCAGCATTCTCTCTCCCCTGACTACGTCAGCACCACTGGGTTCTTGTTCCCGCTCCAGATTGTAGGCCCTGTGCCCTGAGTCAGAGTCTCTGGGAGTGGAGCGCGGAACTCCATTTTTTAAAGGTTCCCCGAGAGAAGACTACTCCAGACTGGGGGGATCTCATCTTTGTAGCAATTACGGACCTCTTTGAGAATTTTGGGCAAGTTTTGGGCCTGCTTTCCCCTGAGAAATATGTGCACATACACCCTAACACACACACAGTCCCACACGTTCTCACACACATACACACACAGTCATACAAACATACTCTTTTCATAATTAGAGCGCGTTCCCAGATTCCCCTGGAGCCCATCCATGGATCCCTAGCAAAGAAACTTTGCTCCCAAGTGACATTCTTATCGTACAGATGACCAGGGCACTCAGAGAGGTTGGGGAGCTTGTCCTGGATCACAGAGCACGTTAATGGGTCTGGAACTTAGGAGTCCTGACTCCCAGTGGGGGCTCATTCCGTGGCAACACATCGCTCCCTTGTCTTGGCCATCCTCAGCCAGGGGTATGGGGGTTCTCCTCACCCTCATGAGGACACTGGGGCTTGGGGAGGTTAAAGCGGTGCTGTCCAGTACAGTGGATGCTAGGCACGTGGCTATTTAAATTAATTTAAATGGAATAAAATGAAATATTCTGTTTTTCCATCGCACTGGCCATATTCCAAGTGTCCAGTGACAACTCTTTGGGACAGGGCAGGTATAGAGCATCTCTGCCCTCGCAGACAGTTCCGTTGGGCAGCACTGGCTAAGTGGCTCGTCCGGGGGCAGACACCGGGGCACAGCTGGGGCTTGGCCACCACCTTCTGCTCTTCTCCCGTTTCTGGCACTGCCTCCCAGCTGGGGGTTCCTGCTGGCTGGAAGCCCTCCCACCCCCAGCCCCTCCTAAACTGGGCATCTCCGGCCTCTGTGAATGGCCTTGCCTTGGCAGATGCTGCTGTCCCACCCACCTCCTCGGGAGGCTTTCCGGAGGGCGAGAAGGGGAGGGGGACAGGCGGAAGGCAGAGGAAGAGGAGGAGGAGGAAGGGAACAACTGTTTTCTTTAGCCTGAGAAACTTGGCAAGGCAGCAACACTTGGAGGAAGATATTGTAGGCATCAGGGTAGCAGTGGGTCTCTGCTGAGTTCCAGAGGGTCAGGAGGTTTGGGACCTAGTCCTGGCTCTGCCACTGACCCCCCAGATGGCCTTGGGCACATCTCTTAAGCTCCAGGAGGCTGGCCAACATCTTGTCTGTTGGTCTTGCAGGCAGCTCAGGGGGAGGGCAGCGTGGTGCAGGGAGCAAGAGCGGGGAGTCAAACCCAGAGCCCCATTTTACAGAAGGCTCAGAGATGCCACGTGACTTGTCCAGGGAGAGCAGCACAGGAGGGTGTCGTGAAGGAGAAATGAGCTGATGCCTGCACATGACAGGTGCTTGGGAGGTGGCTCTTGTCATTTGTTGTAATGTGCTTTAAGGGACCAGAGAGTCTGAGTTAGATTCCAGGCAGGACCCTGGAGTCAGACAGGCCTGGTGTGTGCCTCATTTCTGCTTCTTAGTACCTGTGTGACTTTGGGGAAGTTACTTTACCTCTGTAAGCCCAGTTTCCTCATCTGTGGAAAGGGGACAATAATAGCACACCGAGACTCCTCTTAGAGTTGTTGTATGGATTACATGAATTAATATATGTACGAGCGCTTAGGACTGTGGCTGGCACGTAGCATGCCCTGTTATTCTGTTATTACTGGCTTTGATTATTGTTGTTTGTTGTTGATTCAGCCCCTGTTAGTTGGGTATTTTGCTCCTTGTGGCCAGTTGCATCTTACTGGACAACAGGGAGCCATGCCCAATGCAATTGTGTCTGTAAGGTACTTAGCACAGAGCAAGCACGGGATTGATGTTGGCTGTGACATTTGTGATTATCAAAAGGTTTGGGGTGCATATCTTGAGCCCAGCGGGTTGGAGGGTGCTGGTTCCAGCAGAGGGGAGAGTCTTGCCCTTCGGAGAGGGTCTGGAGTATGGATGGAGCCCAGCCAGGTTCCTCCACTCCACGTAACACCTGGGCAAGGGAGGGGCGTAGAAAGGACTGGGGGGATGTGGAGCTGTGGTCGGCCCTCTCCTTGTTCTAGAGGTATTTTGGGCACTGGTAGGACCCAGATGCCAGGCTCTGAAATAGGAGGGGGTGTGACTGTCCCCCCCCTTGGGCTCCTGCCAGCCCAGCTGAGGCTTACGAGGAGCCAGCATGCAGTCCCCACGAGCCCGCAGCCCCTGGCACTGCTGGATCTGTCTGCCCGTGCCCTGGATCACTGGCGTGTGTATTCCTGCAACTGGGCACAGGGGTTTTTCTTTCAGCAAACATGATCGAGTACCTACAGTGTGCTAGACAATTGGGTGGGGCACCTGGGAGCCCCAGCCTTGCACTGACTGAGCAGCTCATAGTGAGGTGAGAGCTGCCAAGGACAGGCATAGAGAACTTTGGAAATACTGCATCCTCACCAGGTCTCTGGGCTGGGGAAGGGATGCGTATGGGTGGGGCCATTCTGTCAGTGAAGATCCGTGGGCTCCAGACTGCCTCATATTAGCTGACAGTGACATCAGCCCTTGCTGTTCCAAGTGTGGCCCCCAGTCCAGCAGCGGCGGCATCCCCTGCGGGCTGGTTAGAAATGCAGTGTCGGCATCCCCTGGGGGCTTGTTAGAAATGCAGTGTTGGCATCCCCTGGGGGCTTGTTAGAAATGGCAATGGCTCCACCCCAGCCCTACTGCATCCGAATCTGAAGCTTTACAAGCTCTCTGGGTGGTCCGTGTGCACATGGAGGTTGAGAGGCCCTGGCCCAGTGGGAATAATGTTCTAGAGCTAAGCCTTATAGAGCACTTGCTACGGGCAGGCACCGTGCAAAGCGCTTTTATATATATTGGCCCATTTAATCCTCACAGCAACCCGATGACGCTGAGCCTGTGAATGTCCCCATTTTACAGACGAGGACACAGAAGCCAAAAGAGGTTAATTAACTTGCCCAAGGTCACTAACTTCAAATGCCAGCCTTCAAATCTGGGCCTTGGAATCTGCCCTTCACCTTCACACTTGATTCTTTCCCTCATTTAATGTTTGCGTCCGTCAAGATTTCGGTAGGTGGACGCTTCCAGCATGGTGTGGTGGCTAGGTGAGTCCCTTCAGCTTTTCCCTCCCTAAATCTCAGCAGGTGGGACCGGTCCTGGTGTGTCCCCTAGGGCTGGGGAAGGGCCTTCCTTCCCTGAGCCCCTTTCTGCCTGGTTGAAGATTGGAGTTCTCTGTGTTAAGGATGGAAGGAAACAGCTGTGGGTTTGGCAGAGCCGAGCCACTCCTCACTCTTGCCTGGATGCACACAAGCCTCCCTTTTGGTCGAAACTCCAGTCTGTCACTGAGCACGCACTTCTGCTCACCCCTGCCAACCTGCCCCAGGCCCCAGCCATGTGCCCCCAGCTCCAGCGCCCTGAGCCTCTCACGCTCCCCTCCATCTCCCCTGCAGGTCTTGCTTCCTCTACCTGGCACTGCCCTTCCCACCTCTCCTCCCTCTCCACCCTCTGACTCATTCCTCTTCCAGATCTCAGCTCAGAACTGGCACGTAGGCTTCATCTCCTGTGCCAACTCCAGTTAATTGATAGTAGCTCCCTGGGCTGCTGTGTGGAGAAGGATTCTGGAGCCTCGTCCAGCCTTGGCAGGGGTGTGGAGGTTGATTAGCAATGTCTGCCCGGGTGTGGGCAGACGAGGGGGAACGGTAAGGGCTGCGAATCCTCTGGCTGCATCAGCGGCTTCCGCGGCCTGTTCTGCCCTCCACAGCACCCTCCCCTCGGTCGTGATGGTCATAGGCGTGTCTGTCTGTCCCACTAGGCACCAAGTTCAGTGCCTGCCCAGCCTAGGACCTGGCCTACAGGTGGTATTTTGCAAATTTTGGTGGATAATGGGTAGGTGCTATGAGCAGAAGCACCCCTACATCCACTCTTTCCCGCCCTTCCTCAGCCTCCATCACGCAGAATCAGGGCCCCAGCATCCTCTCTGGGTGCCAGAAGCTCTTGTAGCCAGCTCCCACAGCCCCTTCTGCTCCTTCCTTCTGTCCCTCGTCCTGAGGTGTCTGGGTCACCAACATCCAGTTCCCTGGGCGTCTGGGTCACTGTGCCCACAGCCCTGGAAAGCAGGGTGTGGGAGCTGGTGCGTGACCACTGCACCTGGGCTCGGGGTCACGTTTTTGCCAAGGCTGTTTCCCTAATCACCAAAGGCCCCGGAGGCCTGGTGGGTGGCTGGGACTCCCTTTCTCTTACCCACCCCCACCTCTGCTCTGTAATGGTCCATACCTGAAGGACAGCCTGCGACTGCATGTGGCTCTGGGCTAGGAGACGCGGGGGGGGTGGGGGTCCGTTTTGTAAGCACTCGTATTTATGGTA